AAAGACAGGAAGAAGCGCCAGTGATGACACCGATATAGGTAGTATTCTATACTTGTACATATGTATAAAAACATTTGCAATACATGTAGCACTGCGTAAATGACCGCACTCGGACGCTCGACCCACTTACTACTGCTTTGATAACCGAGTCCGGTTTGATGATGAAAACAATATTATTTGTTTTGCTCTACGGATTAGTAATATTCTGTACCTACATGATCTTATTAGAAGGAATTTTGATCTCTGTTATGTAGAAAATAAGACTCAAATTCAGAAAACTCATAGTCATTTGTGCACTGCAAAGGTTAAATTACGTCTACTGGTGCTGGGACCTGAACTTTTGGTGATAAAAACAGCTTTAACGCTTCGACATAAGAGCTTAACAATGACTACATGAGCAATGCCAAGCAATATTTTAAACATCGTCAATTAACAGAGAGGTATGTTAGTTATTAGGAATGTAATAAACGGTATTTAAAAACGCAATTAACGATCGATTGTGAATTAACAATCACATTAAATGTCTACGTGAGCAATTAATGGCCTGATATAAGTTTATTATTGTCATAAATAGCAAAGTGGCTACATCGTTAACGACCTGTGACGACCCACACTGCTGGACTGGGCTACCCCTAGATTAAAGGGTTTGCCATAATCTCGAATTTAGAAATAGATAAACAAATAAATCTCTCAATACGTCACTAGACTTATTATGTAGGTATTAAGTATTTATAACTAGCTACTTCCGCGCGGTTTCATACGCTCTGCTCAGCTCCTATTAGTCGTAGCGTGGTGTTTAATAGCCTATAGCCATCCTCGATAAATGCACTATCCAACACAAAAAGAATTATTCAAATCAGACTTGTAGTTACGGAGATTAGCGCGTTCAAACAAACAAACAAAAAAAACAAACTCTTCCGCTTTATATAATAGTTTATAATATAATTATTATTTCTTTATATACGTATTTCTTATCGTTATTTTTTTTTCTCTTCTGTTACACACTGTGTCTTGTGTATTAATTACATTTCCTGTCTCAGGTCTACTGGAAGAAATTCCAACAGGAATAAGTAGCACCTTTGTACTCTTATTTTATATATGTGTTATCCTCTGTGCTGTGTGTGTGTACATAAATGATTAAACTGTCAAACACCAAGCGGTCACCGGTGACCGCAACCTATTGTTCTATAATTGTGTCTACAAAACCGGTACTCGACGAGTTAAATAAATAAATAAATAGACCTAGGTACGTCCTGAACTGCGATCAACCGCCGATGAATGGGCAGTGGCTGCCTATAAACTGTCGTTTCTCTCAAGTCGTTTGCCAAGCATGAAGATTACGGCTACACGAGTTCAACAGTACACTTCCTTTCCTAATAAGGATAACGAATGACTTATTACCAAGAACAAAATCCAATAGATCAGTGAGTAGTTAGAGTAAAGGTCTAGGAAACTACACCCGCTAAGAATAACTGCCATAAAAGAAATCCTTTGCGAACAAAAATAACATTCTCTATACCTATTTTTTTTAAGGGGAGAAAATCATCGAATTACTGCTCCCGCCTGGGTGAGGCCGGAGGGAGTGTCAGGCTCTTACTGACTAAAAACCACCCCGTTCCTTCTCCTGCACGTCGAGCCGGAGCCCCGGTACCCGTTAGGTTCTCCGCGACTCCGAATCGATTCTCTATACCTATACTTATCCGCCCTGAGGACACGGTGGAACACACGGTGGGAGAATGCCCTTCGTGGGCTGAGCACCGCCGTGTCCTCAGGGAAGTGATCGGCGATGGCGACCTCTCGCGTCCGGGCCTAGTGCAGGCCATGATGTGGAGCGAGGGGGATTGGGATGCCGTCTCTTCCTTTTGCGAAGCAGTCATGCTAGCTAAGGAGGAGGCGGGACGCGTGAGGCAGCGAAGCGCTGCCTCCT